ACCCGAGGTCGAAGGCTTGGCCGCAGCGGCCGCGTACGACCGCGGGACCGCGGGGGCGACCTGACTCGTCGCGGGGGGGCCGCAAGAGCCTACCCTCCAGCACGTCGAAACGTCGCTGGAAGGCAGCCATCTCCGCCCGCAGCAGTCCGACTACGTCGGCCTCCGCCGGGGGCTGGGGGCGACTGCCGCGAGCAGCGGCGAGCTCGGCCCTGGCCGTCCGCAGCTCGGCCTCCAGAGCCGCGTTAGAGGCCGCCAAGCGTGCCAGCTCTCGCCGCATCTCGGCCAGCTCAGAGCGCACGTTTCCCGCAGTGGGCACCGCACGTTGCTCCAAGGCCGCCTCCGTAATGGTGGCCGCCGCCGCCTTGAGGAGGCGGAGCCTAACCGGCTGGGATTTCCCCAGCGCCAGCTTGTAGAGCTCCGCCGTAATGGCCTGTTCGAGGCCCCCGGAGCAGCTCTCGCTCTCAGAGCCGCGCTCGCCCTCCGATATCTCCACGCCGGACATCTCGGCCGCAGAGGACTCCGAACGGGCAGTGCTCGAAAGAGCCCTGCCCTCCGCAGCCAGTTGCTCGGCTGACTCCGCGCAGGCAGCTGGTGCCGGTTTCCGGCGACCGCTGCCCTTGCCGCCCCTACCCCGCGCTGCCGTGGGGACCTTGGGGGGAGGCGCCTCCCGAGCGCCGGAGGACGGGGACAAACTGTCCTCCTCCAGCCGGGGGCGTTTGAACGTCCCCGTCGCGCGGCGGCGTGAGCCTTTCGAGCTCACGCTCAGCCGCTCCGCTAATGTTGTGTCGGACTCTGAGTCCGACCCCCTCCGACTGGACTCCCGTATGTGGGGCCTGCTGGACGAGTCCAGCGCCTCACCACGAGTCCCGGAGCCACTTGGGCTCCCTTCTCCCGCTACCGCAGGCGAGCCAAGCTCACCCGCACTCTCCTCCTCCAGATGTGGTTTTTTTGAAATTTGCTCCATAAAGTTCCCACGAGTATGGGGGAAATATTCGGTCCACCCAGGCAGTGCCCCCTGTACCTGGGTAAGTGAAAATTTGTTTCCCAACTAGAGGGTCCACTGGTCCCCTAGCTGGGGGTACGCTCGCGACTGACACTACTCCTCAGCCATGCATACTCTCGCCGCGCACCAGAACTTAGTATTGGAGGAATTTTTTATAGAGGTTATCTTCCTCGCGGTCCGGGCGACCAAGCCAAGACCCTCGTCCCGTTCAGAGTCACAAAACATGACCGTGACCTCCTTACGGATTACGATATCGACGGCTGCAATCGGGGATAGCTCGTGTCCCGATGCTGCTCGCTGGCAGGGTGAGTGCACAACGAGCACCGCCTTTGCCTCTCCGCCACGCTCTCTGCTATGTCCAGAGAGACGGGCGGAGAAACACCCCTCGGAAGCGCGGGCTATGAGCCTCCGCACACAGCCCGCCGCCTCCAGAACCCTATCGGGTTCGCCCGCCCAGTCCAGAAGTCTGCTGCGGGCGACAGTCACTCCAACCCTATCACCCCCGCTAGGGAGACTGTCGCCCGCACCCAGGGTGCACCACGGGGAGGTCTTCTGGCACCGCACCCCTTTGTCTCACACTAGGATTTTCTCCTGTGTCGTGCGTGGGTGCGTTTAGAAACATACAAGTTCACATACACATGACACCCAGATCCGAAACAACAATTTGTGGATCACAGAAAGTGTTGTTCCGTGCGGGAATCGAAGCCGGTTGCGCAGCCACCGCACCAACCATGCAGTCAGTCAAGTCAAAATTACCTACTTTGCTAGCTATTCAGTGTCATGGGTCAGAAATAATCATTAACTAGCTATGTACATACCTTACGCTTTTAATGTGTTGTCCTCTGTAATATTGTCAGCTGTATGGTGTACATGAAATGATAAATAAATAAATAACTTTTTAGTTTTAACTGACTTCCCAAAAGGGTTGGGGATTTTAATGGGGGCTAACGTTTCTTTTTGTGCTCATGATGGCGCAATAGATTTTATTGTCCTATCACTGTAGCTGTCAAATATTGAAAGTCCAATGGAGAGACACTAGCTAATTTCCTATTGGACGAAGAAAGAGTTCCGAGTGGTCGCAAGTGCAACTGCCAGGCAAGGGGTCTCGGGTTCGATTCCCTGGTCGGGCAAAGTATTACTAGGTTTAAAAAAAATCTCAGTAGTAGCACGGAGTCTGGAATTGTGCCCGGTATATGGCAATAGGCTCACCCCCTATTACATGGGACCCATAACATAAATAGTATAAGTGGGTGTTACATTGTACAGTGGCATAATGTGCACCTCTGCCTACCCCTTCGGGGATAAAAGGCGTGATGTTATGTTATTTTTTATTAAACACTTAGTTGAGGTAAATATTTGTCGAGGTGGTGGTCCTCAATGGCTTCCGGAGTCCGGAGGCGTCCACTGCAGTATGAAGGTGCAGGTTCGAAACCTGGAATAATAAGAATAATAATGTTATTATGTTAAGTTCCAAGTTTTATCCTCGGTATTGACAGGTAGTTTTAAGTAGGTACAATTTTTAATTTAATTACCACCAACCAGGCGTGATAGTGGCCAAATGTCGGTTGATGGTATATATATATACTAGCTACTTCCGCGCGGTTTCACGCGCACCTATTGGTCGTAGCGTGATGTTTTATAGCCTATAGCCATCCTCGATAAATGCACTATCCAACACAAAAAGAATTATTCAAATCAGACTTGTAGTTACGGAGATTAGTGCGTTCAAAAAAAACAACAAACTTCCGCTTTAATGGTATAAGATATATTTATTACCGACTTCAAAAAAAGGAGGAGGTACTATGTTCGGCTGATTGTTTTTTTTTTTTTTTTTTTTTTTTTGTTTGTTCGCGCAGTACTCCGCCGTTTGTGGACCGATTTCGAAAATTTTTGTTTCGTTTGAAAGGGTATACTCCCGAGATGGTCCCATTTCCATGAAGTCAGGATCTGATGATGGGATCCTAGGGAAACCGAGGGGAACTTTCGAAAATTCTATGGGGGAGTAATGCGTCTATTATGTTTTTCAATTAAGAATTTTAAACACTACAATTTAATAAGGGTCTGGAGTCGACCTGATGATGGAGCCGACAGACAGTCGAGGGAACTCCTCAGTGGTTTATATTAACTACCTTGTGTTTGGGCTTAATTAATTTGTATTGATGAGGACTTTACACCTAGATAGAGTGGGGCTGTCATTAAGGGTCTGATGATGAAGAAGTGTAATTGTTAAGGGAACTCCTCAACGGTATACAGTAACTACCTTGAGTTTGGGCTTGATTAATTTGTATTGATGAGGACTTTGCACCTATGTATATTATAAGTAACAAAACGGGTATATGTAGCTTTACACTGAAAATGGTAAAATAATAAAATAAAAACTGCGTTTAAAAAACCGACTTCAAAAACCAAAAACTAATAACAAACAAAAAGTCAATACTAAAAAGCAAAAAATAACTATTTTTAGTACTGATAGGTCACCCACCCACTGATAGGTTAGAAGTCGGTGACATAAGCTCATATCATAATGATATAACTTAATGTCCACAAAATTGTGAATTAGATACCTATTAAGGTTTTAATGAATAATTTTGTATGGAACTTATGGCACCGACTTCTTACCTATCAGTGGGTGGGTGACCTATCAGTACTAAAAATAGTTATTTTTTGCTTTTTAGTATTGACTTTTTGTTTGTTATTAGTTTTTGGTTTTTGAAGTCGGTTTTTTAAACGCAGTTTTTATTATGTCTGTAGCCAACCCCATTGTTCTTTCCCGTATCTTAAAAGTAAAATACAACAACTCTAAACTCTGTGTATGTTCTACATCTTTATTCCTTAGTTTTTTATGGGATGAGATTATATCTAGAAAGGTACACGGTATAAATTATATTTCTACACCATAGAAATAATATCTTAAAATAAGATTACAGTGAAATATTGTCGTAGAATTTGTAAGTATAGATAAAAAATATTATGCTGATGTTGAGGCATGGGCATGGGGCATGGCTGGGTTTAATTATGGCACTCTGTGACTTCGGTGCTGCCATCATGATATGCCATTATGTTATCTATGAAACGATGTTACCAGGTTACTTAAGTTTTCCTAATTTGCTGGAAAAAAATATAATTGTTGTTCATTTGTTCTGACGCTACACGCTTAAGATTATAACCGAATGACCACATCCGTTTAAATTTTTCACATGCAAATAAATTGAGATTAGCTTTTTCAAATAACCATTGTAAGGGGCTCCTTATAATTAAATAAGGCATTTTTATTAATATATCTGGCAACATAGGTGACGTGATTGCTTATTTCATAAAGGTACTTTCTGTCTCATCTGTTCGATGAAATTTCACAGTAATAGCTACAATCTACATGCATCTAATATTTTTTTTCAATTAATCGATGGTGAATTGATTTGCGAATCTAATAATTTTCTTTATTTTTCATCCTTCTGGTTCTTATAATAATTGTAAGTACACGTTTTTCTAATTCTATGCTTGGATAACGCATTTGTTCTTTATATTCGGTTGCAGTTTTTCCTCGATAATGTCGTCGATCGTGTTGCTTTGCCTTCAATTTTATTTGTCTATTATCTTCGTATGTTTCTTATTTTCATGTTGTAATTATTTACAGTGTCATCTATAAATAGAAATGTTTTCGAGTACATATTTCTTTATGCCGTAATACTTTAATTACCACGAATTTGTCATAGGTATGCATTTTGGGTATTGTTGGAATAACTTATGTGTTCTGGTAAAGAATTGAGGCATTTAGTGCAACTCTATTAGGAATTTATATTATCTTTACATGCTATCTAGTTTATTGGAAACCATAACTTTAGTATTTTCTGAAAATTCAAAATAATCGCTAGGCAATTGTAGTGTTAGTAAAATACAAGGAAAAGAATTGGGTCTGATAAGATATACTGCAAATAATATACAAATATCAATATTGCCAGGTGGTTGTATGATATTTATTGCAAAATTTATTTTTAAGATGTCTGGTGGTCACAAGCACCGTTATAAGAATGCAGGCTTGAGTGCTGATGAACTGCGTCGCCGTCGAGAAGAAGAAGGTGTGCAGCTTCGGAAACAGAAAAGAGAACAGCAGCTTTTCAAGAGAAGAAATGTAAATCTTCCTGCACCAAATGCACCCGACAACTTATTGCAGGTAAATCATTGTTACTCCAAAACTCAAATCATTGCTTACTTCTAGAGCAAAAATATGGTTCCTTACATTCTCAAAACAAATTTGTTTTGCAACTTTAATAATTCTTGTGTTTTTATTGTTGAAGCGGGATACAATTTTTTTAAAGTGAAAACAACTACTGCAAATATTGTGTAAAAATGGCCATAAATGTAAAAAATCATTTTTTTTGTTTTATTTTAAGGATGATATCAATATATCAGCATCTGAGGACATCACTCCAGCCATGGTTGCTGCCTTATATAGTGACAATCCCCAAGAACAAGTTGCGGCAACTCAAAAGTTCAGAAAACTATTGAGTCAAGAACCGAATCCTCCAATAGATGAAGTGATTCGGACTGGCATAGTTCCTAAATTTGTGGAATTTTTGACTACTATACATCCAGTACTACAGGTAATATATTAATAACTAACTTCCTGCACATAGTACATAGTAACTATTTCCTTATCACTCTATTTTTGATTGAAAATTTATTATAATCATTGTTGTCATAGTCAATTAATCATTGGTTATTAGACTACTAATGGTACTAATTGCATATTAGGTAATAGAATGCAAATCAAAAACGTAAATAGAGTCAGAAAAACCTTTAAAATGTAGTTAGACATATTATTAAAGGGATATTATTATTATCATTAGTAAATAGGTACTTAAGAGTAATGAACAAAATACATAGTAATTTGAATAAATCACCAAGTAACAAAACCTGCAAAACTGTAAACACCACATGTGCTTTTACTATTTTGCAACATCAAGATTTTTTTGTGTACCTATTGAATAGAGGCGTTATATTTTTTTTATAAGTTACTGAATTTATTGTATGATTTATTTTCCAAATGAGGATAGTTACACACATGTCTTATGTTTTACAATACACCTTTAGCATCACCAAGAAGGAATTTATTATACATTTTTAATATTTAATTTATTTGATTACAGTTTGAAGCAGCATGGGCTCTTACAAACATAGCATCTGGTTCATCGGAACAGACCCGTGTTGTAGTGGAGTGCGGTGCAGTGCCTGTGCTTGTGAGCCTGGTTGGAGGCGGCGCAAGTGACGATGTTCGTGAACAGGCGGTGTGGGCTCTCGGTAACGTCGCTGGGGACTCGCCGCGTTGTCGGGACACCGTGCTTGCTGCTGGAATCTTACCACCATTGTTAGAGTAAGTAAATATAATGTAAAACATGTTAAAAAACTATTGTTGGAATTATTATCCTTTTGATTGTATTCCCCAAAAGGTTAAGTACTAAATAAGTAAATAAAATTGTGTCTTATTTACTAATTTTATAACTTGACATAACTTATGCAAATTTAAATAAGAAAATCTTTAAACTAAAATAATAATAATATATTGTCATCCTAGCTTTAAGTTATTATTTGATTGGTGGTCCTAATTGTTATTTTCTCTGTTTTTCAGAATATTAAATAAGTATACCAGGTTATCTATGACGAAGAATGCAGTCTGGACTCTATCAAATTTGTGTAGGGGTAAAAATCCGCCGACGAACTTTGAAGCTGTTGCTCCAGGTTAGTTTAATTGTATAACTCGTTTTTTAATACAATCTTTAGTATACAAAAATTATTATACATATATTTAATGAACTATTGTAATTGCATAACTTTAATGTGTTTTCCAGGAATTCCAGTGTTGGCGCGATTGCTACATCATACCGACGCAGATGTATTAAGCGACGCATGCTGGGCTCTCTCGTATCTGTCAGACGGACCGAATGAAAAGATACAAGCAGTGATAGACGCTGGAGTTTGTAGGCGACTTGTGGAACTATTAATGTGAGTGTAAAATATAACATGTCTTACGATTTCATGACCAATATTCAGAAAGATTATTTAAGTATAGTAAATTTATTTTATTTGTTAAAGTTTATTATACTATAATATTAATTGATTAACTGTATCTTTTGGCAGGCACAACAAATCAACTGTTGTATCGGCGGCATTGAGAGCTGTCGGTAATATTGTAACTGGCAATGACGCGCAAACACAAGCAGTACTGAACTGCAATCCTCTACCCAACTTGCACGCGCTGTTACGGTCTAGCACAGAGGCGCTACGTAAGGAATCATGCTGGACACTTTCAAACATAACAGCTGGCAATGCTGCACAGATTCAGGTACACAACTAAAGCAATATTTTTGCTTAAATAATTCTTTTATTAAAAATGTTTATTTACTAAAATTGTATTGTTACAGGAAGTAATAGATGCCAACATTTTCCCAGCGCTGATTGAAATTTTGAGGCAAGCTGAATTTAAAACAAGGAAAGAAGCAGCTTGGGCTATTACTAATGCTACTAGTGGAGGCAGTCATGACCAAATTAGGTATGTCCAAAATGCAAATATTTAAGGTCTCTTATATACTACTACAGCTACTTCCGCGCGGTTTCACACGCTCTGCTCAGCTCCTATTGGTCGTAGCGTGATGTTTTATAGCCTATAGCCATCCTCGATAAATGCGCTATCCAACAAAAAGAATTATTCAAATCAGACTTGTAGTTACGGAGATTAGCGCGTTCAAATAAACAAACAAAAAACAAACTCTTCCGCTTGATATAATAGTATAAGATGTATTTTGTAGTTGTAATTGTTTTTGGTAACATGCTTATGTTTTTTTTTAGGTATTTAGTTGAGCAAGGTTGTATACCACCTTTATGTGAGTTATTAACGTTAACGGACGCCAAGACCGTCCAAGTCGCTCTAAATGGATTAGATAATATATTAAAGGCAGGACAACAAGCTGATCAACGAGACAATCCTTATGCCGTCCTCATTGAAGAGTGCTTTGGTAAAATCTCTCATATTATTATATTCCATTTATTTATGTTTCATTAATGCAGACAAAACATAATTAATTATGTGTATATTTGTCACTTTAAAAAAATTAGATGTGGATGTGTAATAGAAAATTTTGCTCTTTTCAGGTTTGGATAAGATAGAATTTCTCCAGTCACATGAAAACCTTGACATTTATCAAAAATCTTTCGAGATTATTGAGAACTATTTTGGATCTGAAGAAGAGGATGGCAGACTTGCGCCTGCGGTGTCGTCTACTACGGACCAATATCAATTCAATACCGATCAGTCGGTTCCTATGGGTGGCTTCCAATTCTAACCTAGGCTTATAATTATACTTTATATTGATGCTGACCGTGCAGTGAGTATAATTATATTGTGATGTTTTGTAAATTTATTGTTTCTTTAGTCACAACTGTGGAATTCGAAAAGTTTGATTTAAATCTTATCAACTATTATTTAAGCTTTTATATTTAACACTGGCGCGGATAACTACTACAGCTTGTTTCCATGATCTTTTATCTCCTAACGGAGTTAATATATTATTTAGATATTTTATTAGTTTTTGTTAAATCATATGGACATGGTTGTTTTCAATAAGGAATATTTACATTCTAATTTAAAACTGGGTAGATAATTTGTAGTCAAAATTTGGTCACTGCAATCATGACCTGGGGGAAAAGTAAAATAAAAAGAATAGACATTATGCCATTTTGTGCTCTTAAATGCTGTGCAATAAGGACTGGCGCTCGCTGCCGGCACGCTACGGCGGGGCCTGGCAAAGGATTTTACGTTACTACTCAAGTTATTTAGAATCTTATTTTCATGAGTTTAGGATTCATGTTACTTTATTTCGATTTCGCAATGCTACGGCACGTGGCAGAGTGCCGTGTCATGCCGTTTAATTCTACGGGTTACCGCAGCGCTTATGTGATTGCTAAGCTAATAAAATAAGGTTGTAATTTGTGCAGCGGTTATGACAGAGTGGCTGAGTTTTCAGCAGAATGCCGCGGCGTGTCATGCCGGCAGTGAGCGCTGAATCTAAGTTTCTTACAAAATATATCACAATCCTACTGATAAATTACACTATAAGGAATTAAGGAAATGTTACGATAGTAACACTTAACGCTGGGTTCATCTAATATCCATTATATTATAATTCACAATCAATTCGTAAAATTGACCTATATAAAATAAGAATATATGTAGATAGAACCACTACATGTACTTCCTATTTATACATATACTATAAAATGCAATAATTATCATAAATTAATTTAGTGCTTAGGGCATTAGGACCCATGTAATACTTGATTAGATTATTAAAGATACAATGGGTTATGACTATAACTAAAACTCACCTGGTAACATCTGTTTATTGAAATCAAAGTGCTTGTTAAAAGTGAGATCATAGTTTTGTGTATGTACCGTATAGTAGTTAGCATACCATATATAGGTATAATGACCAATATTGACAATATCAGCTTTGTAATACATAGGCAATATGCTTACTCGGCAATATTGGAAATAAAATATGTTTGAACATAATATGACCAATTCATTTTTTTTAGCTATGTATCAAAACTCACTTACTATTTTGCTTTATTGTGACTGAAGAAAATTTCTTTTTTCAGATATGTATGTGTATACAGAAGTGGGTAGTATCTACAACTTCGTATGAATTAACTGTTTTCAGATCAAACTATCTACACAATGTGTACGTTATTATATTATGCACCCATTATGTATAGATTATTTTATTAATTTATATAATTAACAAAGGAATTCGCCTTCTTATTTTTTTTATTGTAGATAATGGCGTATCTAGTTCATTTATTTTGTAGTATGTATTGTATTTGTTGGCCTTGATGCTTTTGTTACTAAAATAATTAAACTTGTATATTGTTATGTGAAAGTATCATTTCATGCTATATTACAGATTGGTACCAACAAACATGTCATTTAATTTTCAATCCTAAGTTCCTTTCTTTTGTTTGTGGTTCTTATCCAACTCAGAGGAAGCTATATTTTGTATTAAAAGATATGGGAATTTCGCTTTGGTATGAAAAGAGTAAACTTTTGTCAAACAATAAAACAACTAAAATATTTATTTGTATAAGTAAAGTGTAAAATTACTTACAAAAATATAACTTACAGTTACAAAAAGACCGAAGGCTAAATAATATAATCTTTCTTATTCTATGGAGGTTTGAATGAGTCTAAGTACAGCTACGAATTGTAGTTGTATTGTCTACCATGAAACACCTATATCATTAAAATAAACGATTGTTCTAAGAAATGCATGTTCTTGATGAAGCGAGTCCCAAAACTTCATTCTCTCATAAAATGGATTTCGGCCTTTAGTAAGTTCTGATCCTATGCTCAAGTAGTTTAATTTATCCTTATTTTCAATGGGATCCCAAGTTATTTGTAAAAGTGGGTCATCTTCATCAGGTGTTGGATTGCTGCAAATAAAAACGAATTCTCATTACAATATACATTCACTGTACATACAGGGAGAATTTATACAATATTAAAACTATTAAACAGAGTCAACTATAAACCAATAAAATATAGATATCCTTTTCCTGTTTGTATTATTTTAATTGCATAGATGAATATTTGAACAAGTGTGGCAGCATTTAACACATACAGAAATATGTTAAACAATCGTGACAAATAAATGAATATAATAAAATACATGAATGGTTGGGTTAAGATTGAAATTAATAATTACCCCGTTTTGGCGAAATTTGTCCACAATTTGATTACTCTACTTCTTGTGATCACCGAATCTCGACTACCCTTGCAAATTTCTGGCATTTTAATACGGAATATAAAAGGAAGTTCGGCACAATGCCCTGCAGAGTTCAAAAAATTGATGTCTGTGGGTACTGACCACTCGCCAGCATAGTTGACAATATAATAGTACACTGGGGATTCCGGTGCCGACTGACTATGCATTCTTACAGTTCTATTGACATAATATAAGAAATAGTAATCACTTATTAATTGTAAGTACTGTGTTCTAGTCTCTGCCGTTAGGTGTTCTTCACCACCCAAATAGAACTTTAGTAATTGTTGACCAATACTTTTTGTTACTTTGTCTTCTCTGGCGATCGATCTAGGCACAATCAGACTAGTATTCTCGTTAAATTTCTCATAATCAGAATAAAAATCTTCTTTAATAAATTCCAATAATGCAGCTTCAATATTATTACTACCAATGATTAAAGGCACTTTGTTGAAGTTTCCAGATTTCAGAATTAGAAGAGGGCTTTTCGTAAGAAATGCGGGTTGACCTTCAAACTCAACTTCGATACATGGTTTGAAGATTGCGTCAATGATATCATGATTGGCAGCCTTTTGTGTTCTTAGTGCCATGGTATGAAATGCTTGCATTATATCTAACGCCGGTAAAGTCCGTAGCTCTTCAATAATTTCTACTTTAGTTGATTTCTGGATGTTCAATTCATTTGCTAGTTCTATTACAGCTAGGGAGGGGTTTTTGGTTAAAGACCAATTGTTTAGTGCACTTGCGCTTTGTATAATTGCTCTGTGGAAAAGACCAGTAGCCATTGGGGATAACATCATGAGATGGACCATAGCTCCTCCTGAAGAACTTCCAAAAATGGTGACGTTGTCTGGATCACCTCCAAATACAGATATATTCCTTTGCACCCATTTTAAAGCCATGACTATATCCTTTAGCCCACAATTACCCGGTGCTGTAAAGTCATTGATAGAAAGGAAGCCAAATGGTCCTAATCGGAAGCCGCACCTTACAAATACGACGTTTTCATTATTGATTAGGGTAGCGTCAAATATTTGATCCATGATGCCTGTAAATCCAAAACTTCCAATCCAAAACATAACTGGCATAGGTGTTTCAGGCTGTATACTAGGAGTTGAGATTTCAATATAGAGGCAATCCTCTGAACCATCTATACTTTTATTTAAGATACAGCATAGCTGTAAGGGTTGTTTTGCAGTACAATCTCGTAGTGCTTGCCATGGTTCAATAGGAGACGGAGGCTGCAAAAAGGTAATCAGCGATGTAAAGTTATGAGGTAATAGTAAGTACCTCTATAGTTAGAAATGTGTACCAAAAATCTACATGTCTGATTGGAAATCAGAAGTATAAAATATGGATTTTTTGTGAAAGCACATACTATATACATTATGATTATATTTTTATATACCAGGGTAGCACATACATATAAAATATATTAATAATAAATGTGTTGTATCATAAATTTAAATTATTGAATCAGTTTGTTTTTATTTATTTGTTTAGCTCTGTAATGATGATCATTAATTTATTATGATAATAATTAGGTGTGACATAATCTCAGATAAGCTATTTATATTTAAATAATAATAGATACATGGTCAGTTTTACTTGAAATATTATTTAAGTATATGATACATTGTCAACATGTAAACCATAATATAGAACATCAACTCCAAGTTTATAAATACTGGGTATTCTACCTACCTAAATTAAAAATAATTAATGATGAATATATAATGATTTAATTTAATTTAAACTTGGACAAATTTAAATTATAACTGAAATTGCCAATTCACTTAGAGCAAGAATGGTGGTGACTAAGTGTAATTCCTTTTCCATGTGAAACGATGCCGTGCCACCAATAGGTACTTCTAGGCTGACGATGATAACTCAGGTAATTGTGAAGTGATTTAAAAATGTCTCTATATTAATAATTCAACAAATATGTAACTTATAACTTACCATAAATCTCAAGCGACCAATGGGTGGTTTAGCATATGGAATACTACTAAATTTATAATAAGTTCCTTCATCGTTTTTATCAATATATCCACATATAGGACCATCTTTTGTTTCAACAATACATTTTACATCTTCTGGTACTGAACACATTTTCTGTCTTTTGATTGCTCTGTAAAATAAAATTTAGATAATTATTAAAACTATGTTCAATAAAATTGAGTATACCTATTTGATGCACTTGTAAAAAATAAACTGTTGACAACATGTACACATAACAGTATTTATGAAAATATGACCCTGACTCTGTCCAACTGTTTAAGATTGGCCATGGCCTTGATATTAGTAAGCTATGATTTATTTAATTTAATACTGTTACAAATTCTTTCAGACAAAACAAATTTTTAATTTACTCACTGCTTATTTCCCAATACTCCAAGTAACAAAATATGTGTTCATTAATATTAAACATTCAGTGAACGTAATATGATAGATTACATGTACATTTGACCTGAGGAACTCGTTAAAAGTAATTACAAACAAATAAAAGATGTACTTGCCTAACTTGTTCTGAAATTTCGTCACCTTGTAAGTTTACTTTTGAACAGTTAAAAACTTATGATTTTCTCTTAAGTTTTGCACAATAAGGCACTTGAATTGCACTAGTAAGGCAAACCTCTACTGACGAATGATAAAAAGATCTATTCTATAAATATACCCATTAACAAGTGAGTTGAAATCTCGAACAATCATTTATTGTGATAAGTGATAAGAATGGTACAATATTCTTATCATTAGCGCTTCTTCAAAATGTTGCCATATTTAATTAATTGAATTGAGATCCATCGCAGGTTCTCTTTTCATCTAAAAAGTACGTATACGCTTATTACGCAAGTCAATGTAATATCCACGTCATCCACATGGGTTGTCTTTTGTTTAAAATAGTAATAATCACTACTTAATAATAAGTAGTATCGTCTTCATCATCATCATCAGTCTATAAATGGCCATTGCTGACCAAAGGCCTCTTCTCGCATGGAGAAGGTTTAAGCATTAATCACCACGCTTGCTCTATGCGGGTTGGCGATCTCAAACTTGTAATTAGACATTATAATACATCGTTTTGCTCACTGAAAACTTGAAAAGTCATAAATCAATTAACTAATCAGTGGTGATAAAAATAAAAGCTATTTTTTCATATTTTTGAAGAGAAGATCTATAAAAATTCTTATGAGTTCTAATGAATATGATGAAATAGATATTACTATAAAGCATTAACTTTTATAATTTCTTTTTGAATCGAGGTAATCCAAAAATTGTAAACATTTAAACTGGCAACCCTCTCAGCCATTTTGATAATTATGTCAAAATTAACTGTCAAAATCAGCACAGATTGCAAACCCCGGTTTTTTTTTGACAGCTGATAAGCATTCGACATTCAGCACAGCATTTTGTTTGGGGTAAAATGTGTTAGGTTAGTGATACATTTACAGTTTGAGAAAAAAGAGGTGACAGCTGGAACTAATATTGACTTGGACTGAATCACTCACTTCGGACCATATAGGTACCTACCATGAATAAACAATCATCCAAATCCGAACATAGTAGGTACCTCCTCTTTTCAAACTCGATAAAAGTAACAATTAATAACGAAAAACAGATTGAGTCGTAGCGTACCAAGTGGCCATAGGTATGATACTACTCAGATACTAGTAGTAGTAGTACTTCAATTATTCCAAAATCTTTTTTGTGATTCGCCTATGTGAATGTAGTCTAATGGAATTAATCGCTTAACATTCACATAAAAACTATTCACGAAATAAAGTAGGTAAATGGGGGAGAACCACAATTATATTTGGCGCAATGGCTGAGCAACCAGCTACAGTTCAATGTGTCGCAGGTTCATTTCAATCCATACTTAAATTGTGATTTGAGTGTAGGATAAAAGCAATAGAAACGAAAACGACAGGATAGAACATTCTAGGGTAGGGCTACGTTATTAGGTAGGACGAGTAGGAATGCGAGACGAGATTGACGAGACACATGGGATGGGATACCTACTACTTCTACTATTAAGGGATTTTGTCAGTAAGGGCATGTTCTCTGGCTTCTCAGTTGGAATTAATGCCTGAGCGGGATTGAAATCTGCCTAACCTACACCTACGTTACTTATTTTGGGAAAATGTATAATTTCTCTAACGTGACTTATTGTATGCTTACATAATTTTTTATCGTCAAAAAATTCGAACCTCTTTACCTGGGTACCTACTATACCTAATTTATTGACTTGTGACTTGACTGCTACTGACAGAAATATTACATGCTACCACCAGTCCACCATCTCTGGGCCACTGGCTTTTGATTTATTTCCTTGCAGTTACAACAACTGCTGATAGTAACTCTATTGACAATTTGACCACTTGTTATTGTTATTGACATTTTTAATACACCCATGAATGAATAAAACAAATGAATCGAAATATATAGGTAGATTTTTTACATTTTGGACTGGTCTACTTCCCGATCGTACAGGGAGGGCAACAAATCTTGATCCATGACAACAGAGTCACAATACTTCATTTTCTTTATCAAATCCTGTCTAAGTTCTTCTTCATCTCTTGCTAGTGTATTCCTGAATTCTGGCGTACTTATCATGTTCGCAAAAAACTTTCGATTGCTAGTGAATTTTGGTGCAAATCCCACGGTAGTTTTAGATGGATAGTTTACGAAACTTTTAAGATCATCCGTCGCAAATCTAAAATTGAAACCAATAGATTTATTAATCCTTTTGTTTGTTTTTAAATCATCACTAACTAAAGTTGAATATTTAATAACGGTTAATTTCTTTGTTCGACAAAAATGTGTGAAACGATCTTTTCTTTAACCTCGTACGAGATTATGATTAGCCTTAAAAAAGTCACTTATCCTGTAGAGCCTGACTGTATTCCTGTGTTTTAGTTATGAAACATAATAAAGATAAACATTAAACACTTACTTCATAGACGGCATCGCTGAATTTATACATCTATCAAACATAGTATAGAAAGCGATGGTAGTATCCAATGTTATTGCTAAAGCTTCTTTACTCCTGAAATTAAAGAAAAGACGTCAGGACCTAATAACAGCTAATGAGAAAAGGTGAAATCCTAAATTACTACTTTACTTAAATGTCTAAAATTGTGTAAAAAGGAAATTCTAAAAGTAATAGGACAGCAGTCTACACAGATTGGATAACATCGTCAGACGACCTGATTAAGGTCGCAGGGAGCCGTTGGATGCAAGTCTCTTCGAACTGGACAATCTGGAAGTCATTGGGAGAGGCATAATTATGTTCAGCAGTAAACGCCCCGTGGCTCATAATATGTGATGATGATGACCTCAATATTTAATTATTGGTAGAAAACTATACTTAATACCTTTCTTCTGCATTGCATGACACATGATTTATTATTGCAGCAACTATTATTGCATTATAAAAAAACATTTTATTTATAAACATTTTAAGCATAACATTACCTTGGTAATATTTATTACGTACTACATACAGTTCAATATTTTTATGTTACGTTGTTGATTTCGTTTCCGACCATAAAGCTGTTTTTATTGTAACTATGCATTTTACATTTGCAATAACATTTGTTTACAGTGGGTGATATATTAAAAATAAATTATTTATAAAGAAATATAAATTATAGAGAATGAATTTAGTTTGATAGTAGCCAGGAAGGTACCTACATATCTCTACATTGTGAAGCAATGAGCAGTCACGAAGCGTCTGCAGTTTATCAGAAGATCCGATAAACTCGGAAAATCATTTCTCAAGTGACTTTCAATTTGGATCCCTCTGCTTTGGTGCGTCGCATCGAGAAATTGAACGATCGCTTCCAAACTTTCATTCCTTTCGAATTTGGTAAAGGGAATTTACTAAGTTAGATAGTTTTCATAGAAATAAGAAAAGTTATGGCTATTGAGATAGCGAAGAGAACTATACCTTACATACAGTTGTGCCGAAATATGTTGAGGTCGTTTATCCTATAGCTAACTATAGCCTATAGGTATTAGGCTTGCCCATGGGAGATTCTGCTACTGATGAAATGTTAAAACGTAAAGGCAGTTTTGCAAAATGAAGAGTGGTAGGTAAGTCTGACTAGTATATTAACTAATTATCTAGGTTTAATCTTATTTGGTCTAGAAAAAAATATATAACACACGCGGAGAAAACTATAAACACAAATACGTATCAATAGGCTGTACATGATGTGTACATACTTATGTATGTGAGTAGATACAATAGCAAAACACGAAGTATGGTGCAAGCAAGGAAATTACCATTTTTCTTGAAGCGTCTAGGTGGCAAGGTGGTTCGAAATGACGTTTGGAACAAATTTCCGTCACAATCTGCGTTGTCTCCGGAGGCATTCGATTGGAACATTGGCCGGATAATAATAATTCCCTCCCTTCATGCCGCAGTCGTACCTACTTTAAAATGGAGGCGCTTGCATCTGTTGGAGACGATAGCGATTTACACATATATCTACTAAATCTAAACCTTTTTTTTGTTTTTATGAAACAGGCGTTTAGTGAAATGTTTTCTTTATTTTGTTATGAAATAAATAACAGTCATGTTATTGTGATTGCGATTTTGATAATGTCTCAAAATAGAATGTAACGTAGGTACTACAAAACACAACAATAACATAATATCTATAAATAAACTTGGTACTTATGATTTATCTAAAATATTCATAGGGACTTAATTTCCAAGAGATTATGATCAAAGTAAACAATTAAGATTAGGGTATTTTCTCATTTGTAGCGCCAATGCTCTGCTGGGGACACTGATAAGTGATAGGTGATATTAATTAGTGATGCTTTGATCTGTCGCACACGCGTGCCTACGAGCTGCCAATCGCACCCGCTTGTCGGCCCGGCAATTAGTCGTTCCCATGTACCATGGAGGCCGAACAAGCCGGGACATAGCCTTCGGGAGCCGTGCATACGTTACACGGGATATAATACAATTTAACTACTGTTTTGTAGTTAATTATCGGATTAACCTACCTACTACCTATATATAAAGTTATAGGCATAAAAGTACTCACATACACTTTGGCTTTATAAGTGTAGGTATATTGTACATTAGACTAATGGAT